AAAATTATAATGCTTATAACTGGTTACCTACCCCAGCCTGAGGCAGTCAGGGGATGTATATCCTCCTATATGATAAGCAACTGCACTGGATTTAAAGAGTGATAGGGTTTAACTAGAAGAAGATGGACAACCTTTTAGGCAAAGTACAGTGTATGAAGTCATAGACTCCAAAATGTTACTATGGCACATACATTGAGACAGGAGTTTTATAAAACACCTGGGTCATAATTTCTCATTTATCTAATCTCCTATGTGTATGGTATATGCAATGACCAAGAGGCAGATCTCTGCTCTTATGGAGCTTACATTTAATGGAGGACAGCAAGCAAGAAAATAAGAGCCTTCCGAAGTGAAAGATTTTGCAAGGAAAACAAAAAAGATTTATAGGATAGAGTTAGGGATGTGTGGGAAAGATGGACATTTTAGATATTGTAAGAGCTTTTCAGAGGAGGTGACACTGCACTGTACCCTGAACTCTGTGCAAACTTTGGGGAAGAGATTTCCACACAGAGTGACCAGAAACTGCAAAGGCTTTAAGGTAGGAATAAACCTGGATACTCAAGGGATAATTGATATGCAGTTTGCAGAAGAGTGAGAAGAAGTGAGAAAGGTATGAAAGGAGTTTGGAGAGGGGACTGGGTCTTGCGGGATATTGGAGGGTCGAGGGTAAGGATTGGATTTCACAGGCAGTCATTGTAAGGATACTACTCAACTTATGCTCTAAAAAGTTCACAATGGCTATTGTGTGGGGAATAAATTATGGGGAGGGTATGGAAAATAGAAGTCTGGAACCCTTTGTAGAAGGCTAAAATAATGGTGATTTGAATTTTTTTGTAAAGTGGAAACAAGCGAATCTCTTAAGATAACATGTAAGAGTCAAAGAAATATTACAAAGAAGGGTTCTGCAAGCACGATATCAAAGCTGTGTATAATACAAAGTAGATTTAAGCATCAGACAATGAGCAAAAGGCAAACTCTAAAATTCCTTACCACCCTAATTAGGTCTGAATCATAACAGTTTTATGAATAATAAAAGCAATCTCTTACAATAGCGGCTTGAAAATTCTTAAAAAGACCCAAAGAAAGAAAGATTTAATAGCTAAACACTGTCCTCAAGAACTCTGCCAAGGTCAACAGAAATTTTTCAAAAGGGAATTGAATTTCAACTTGAACTTCACTCCTAGCCAGCAAGACAAATACAATATTGGGAAAATTATTTGAATGGCGATAGGTCTCACTCAGGAGTTATCCAGAAAAAGTGGATGTGAAGAGTCACTTAGGAAGGATGAGTTGTAAGATGGCTGTCTCACAAAAGCAGTGGTAAGAGCAAGGCACTCCAGACTTAGGGTCCTCACAAGGGTTTTGATGATCAAAATGAAACAACAAAGCATTCCTTGCATGCCATCATCATGTCTGAGCAATCCTAACTACAGCCATGCTTTGCTGAATGACAGGGATATGTTCTGAGAAATGAGCTGCTGGATGATTTCCTCAGTGTGTGAACATCACAGAACCTACTCACTCTACCCTAGATGTTTGGGCCTCTTGATAGAAGTAAGAGATGAGGTAAATATGAGATATACTGCTGCTAGTGTAACATACCATTTTACAGGAGACTTCTTTTTATAAGTAGAGAGTATACACTAACATAGCAATGAAAAGTTCATTATAAAATAGTAAAAACAAAAACCAGTAACACACTCATCTATTGTCAACTCATGTAATGTATATAAGTTATATGTACTTCACTTTTATACAACTGGCAGCATATTAGGTTTCTTTACCTCAATAGCATCACAAACACATGAATAATGCATTATGGTAGGATAAAACAGTTATGTTACTAGGTGTTAGATTTTTTTTTTTTTGGCTCCATTATAATCTTTTGGGACTGTCATTGTGTATGTAGTTCATCACTAACCAAAATGTCATGCAGTATGTGGCTGATTAAATGGGTTGTTCTGGAATTACTAGTAATATTACATGAGAATTAGATTCTTGAGGAGTAAGTACTACCAAAACCGTCTTGACATCTCATACCAACACACTATTTGGAAAGGGTATTCTTTTTCAATGTGATTTTTTTTTTTTAGGTACAGGAGATTGAACTCAGGACCCTGTGCTTGTCAGGGAAACACAGTGCCACTGAGTTAAATTCCTGGCCCTCCAATGTGATTTAAATATAAGGATCATCATGAAGAAAACTTGGGCTGAAAGAAAAAAAATGAGAATTTATTAATGATTTGAGATTTATGCAGTTTGCAATTGATTTAAATATTGAAATAGGCTTAAAATGTAGTTCCAATTTTGGGAAGTTCTTTAGTTTTTGATGCTTTAAATGTTATAGATCTCTTTATATTTGAGAATATTAACATTTTTCAATGGCTAGATTATATTTGCAGTCATTTTCTTAAAGAAGTAGAAGAGGAATAATGCAAGATGAAGTGGGAAGGATACATTAGCCATATAATTTAAGGTGAAATGATTTCAATTTCAGGATCTTATGGATATTTTAGTCTTTATTTGTCAAATTAGTATCCAATTTTCAACTTCCTCTGAACATAAGGATAGTCGGAAGTCATATAATACAGTAGAAGTTCCTGAGCTGAGCGGGTAATGCAAAGCATTTGGCTCTTCACTTTGAGTTGTAGCACTGGATGTCACTTACGGCTTTGAAAATGATTAAGTGACATTTCAAATATAGAGACTTTGATTTATAGTGAAACAGCAGTTTTAGAGCATGGCTTAATCCAGAGCTACTGCCCCCAATAAACAGGAGCTCGATTCTGTCTCCCAGGCAATGTTCACAGTGACAGGAAGAAGTGTACTATATAAATCACAGTAACATTCACTGAATAATCTGGAAAAGTCGTGGAGGATATTGAAATACCGAGATACTGAGAAGCACCAGTCCGTTTCTATACAGCGCTCATAAATTGCATTTTGTGCCGAGCTGAGAAGAATGTTCAGCTACTTTACCCTGGATATCCTCCAGTCATCAGAGTTTTACATGTACTGACCTGGCACCTTTTCTTCATTTACACTTAATTTTACATTCTGAAGTTGACAAGTTACTGTAAAAATGAAAAGCTCCACAGACAGATGGGAAGATTTTCAATGAGACCTAAAATGGAGGACTTTTTAAATTAAACGTGTGAGCTGAATTGCAAAAGGGGTAAATGACAATTAATAGGGTCAGAGTTGGAGAAACATGTCAAATACATTTAAAAACTGTCACGTTTTTCCCTTTTCTCATTGGTGAGCCCAGGCACCAGGTAGTATAGTATTGTGATGTCTGGTGAGATTACCTGCAGGAAATCATCTACTTTTAATTCAGTTTATAGATGTCAGCCAGCTCAGCCAATCAGCCTGAGAAATATGAACACTGTGTGAAGCTGTTTTGCATACAAATCTCTTTATTCCTATGGGCAATGCAGGCTGAAAAGGTATCTTTCAAATGGAGACTGCTCTGGCTTGGACAAGGATTGAGGGTGTCCCCTGACGCTTCATATGTTGGAAGCCCGGTCCACAGTATGGTGACATGGGGAGTGGCAAAACCTCTATGATGTAGGATGTTGCTCAGTCATGAATGAGGTCACTGAGGCTGCTGCTGTGGGGAGGGTTTATCAGACTTCTCATAATACTGCTGTTCATTCTCGAGAGTAGGTTGTTACAAAAGAGGAAGACTGCCCTCTTTTGCCCTCTGGCTCCAGAGATTGTCACTGTGAGGCCATCCACCACGTGAATCAACCAGGGGAGCCCAAACAGAGCCAAGCAGGTATCAGAGTCTTTTCTCTTGAACCTCTAAAACTGTGACCTAAAAATAACTTTATACGTTAACCAGCTTGAGGTACTTTGTTATAATGATAGAAAATACACTAATACAGAGACTTATGTCTTCACTTAATGGAGGTAAAAATTATTTTAAAAGGGCTATATAACAGAACTGATGAAAATTCTTCATTACCTTTGACCTTGAAGGCTAAGTGTGTAGTCCAGCATTCGTTGACCAAGTTTCCTACTCTAAAGCCCTGACTGGCATTTATTCAGAAAGCAACAAGCTAAGCTGTGACTGAGTCATGAGTCAGGAGGACATTGGCCACATTCCAACAGTTTATGTACTTGCTGACTAGGGCAGAGGGAATCACCACAGAGCTCAGCAGTCCAACTACTTCACAATTGGCTGCCTAGGCACCACCTGGCTTCCTATCATCACCTGCTCTACAGGTAGAACTGGCAGCTGTGTTTAAAGGGTGGGGGGTAGGGGGGAAGAAGAGGTGCCAGCCAAACCCTATGCTCGGCTTTCCAAGTGATCAGTAGGAAATTAGGTTACAAAGTTGGGCTGGGTTTAAAATATATTACTTTGGTATGCGTAACTTGACTGAGTCGGAGTGACTTCTAGAGAAAGATGATGTTGAACCTAGTTGCCATTTACTATTTCTCAAACAAACAGACATGCTTTCTAAATATCTTCCACTAGTGAGGTGAGGTAACAGCTGAACTGAAAGGAACGGTAGGAAGCCAGGGGCCACTGAAAATTAGTCTTTTCATAAATCTTCATTTTTCTAGGGCAGTAAAAACAATAAAACTTCTGTGTGAAAACTCACTCTTTGTTTCCATAATTAGAAAACTATGCTGTATAACTGTTGGCTGGAAAGGAGAGAGTATTAATTATAAATACCACACAGCAAGTGATGGTAGCGTTATCATATGGCCCACCCACAGGAGCTATTAACTCTCACAGATGCTATTTTAGACAATTCAGTTTCAGGCTAATGTTGGTTTATTATACAAAGCATGCGACTGCAGCACTTCTGATATGCTGTGCTTAAAAAGATCACAGGGAAGAAAGGCCAAATTCATTTTAGATATTTGGAATAATGGACTTCTGGTATAGGAGGAGACTTCAAATGAACATTCAGCATTGAATTTTCCTTCAGAAGGGACAAACTGCGTACTTTACAAGAAGCCAATGAGTGTATAAATTCCAAAATCATTGTAGCAGCCCATTGTTTTTTTTTGTTTTGTTTTGTTTTATAAAGAAGCCATTAAATTTAAGAAGTTAATCAAGTGTTTTAAGTGTATGCATAGACACACAAAGTTTTAGGGTGTTTTTAATAACACAACCATATTATGCATTAATTTATCACTTTTTAAAAATCTGGGATTCTGAAAATTTTTGGAAAAAGACATGGTGGCAAACAAGTAATGAGGACAATATTTTTTATTACAGCTATTTTATAAACCAAGAACTAGATATACATAATGTGAATGACTTTTCTTGGAATTCATATTGACTTCCTGCCTTGGGGGTCTAATTGGGATGACTCAGCTGGTTGAGAAACTGTACCTCAATCCTGTAGCCAGCTCCACCATCTCCAATTCAAAAGAGATTTAAAAACTCACACCTCCAAAATGTTGTGTCTCATTCTCTCATTTACTAAGTGCTACATTAAAGTGGCTCATAAAATGACTTAGTAGAGCTTGAAAATATCTAGGCTAAAATAACAAGTATATTATTCACCAATCTGTTGAGCTTATGTTTATATTGCAGTATTTCGACTCTAGGTATATGATTCTTTGGCTTAACAGTCACTACAATAAATAAATAATAATAATAAGGAAGAAAGAAGGTGCAATTTAAATGACCTAATAATATCATTCCGAAATTCATTAAGGTCCAGTGCAACGTAGATTTAATGAGAAAGATTCATCTTTGTTTTAAGATGATTTCTGCTTTTCCTGTGAGTTTTCTGGGGTCTACTCTATTTAAATCACATTTGGTGTTAGATGAAAGAATAATGAATCACAGAGTCACAGAATATCAAAACTGCCAGGAACATCGCAGGTCATCCATTTTCCAGCTGAGGTTGGATAATTTATTAGATTCTAGGTCCCTGGCCTGGCAAGCAGCAAGGGCTTCTTTCTCTAAAGGTTTGCTATGCAGATGGTTAAGGAGATGTGCATATGGTCTGTAACTAATTTACAGAACCCAGGGTTAATGCATGTTGGTCTCTGAACTGTGTGTCATGATTATCACCCTTTTCTTGGCCATGTTAGATTCATCTGCCTCAGGCTCAACCCTCAAATCCCCACCCCACAGATGTTTGTAAAGGATACTTGTTAGAAGCAATCATAGAAACACAAATGAGACCCTGTGAACAAGGAGTCCTACACTGAAAGAGCTAAAAATATTCACCAGTGGAGTTGATAACATCCTCATGAGCTCCCAGGGCCCACACAAACCAAACATATGTAAATAAGGACAAGAGGATGAATAAAGAGCAATGAGCTTTTGAAAGCACAGAAAATAATCAAATGGCTTTTAAAGAAGGGCACTGCCTGGATACTGTAATCTAAAATGTGTCCAGCCTGGCTATTCTTATCTGTAGGTCACTTTCTGAAAAGCTCATTTGTACAACCACTTATCCCACTGTCCCCTCACTTATTAATAAAAGGCTGGAAGCTGGGGGGTGGGGTAGGCAAAGTGCTTCTCTGCTTTTGCTCCAAGGCTGAGGGGTGTTGCCACTGGATTGTTTACTGTGAGTCACAAAGTCAAGTCACGCATCTGTGTTTTTTAAATATATATTTACTTAGAGGGGAGAATAAAGCACATGCTTTTAAAAATACATGCACAAATCTTGTTATTGAAGGGAGAGCCACAGTTCCTCTTAGGTCAAAACTGGTGCTCTGAAGGAAGCTGCTTGAGCCTTCTCCATAAGGGATGTTCAAAATTGGCAGCCTGGGGCCACAATCTGTTGCAAATGGTGTTGCTCCTCAGAAAATATTTTTACAAATTAGAATTTTAGGGTTTTTTTCCTGGATATTACAAACACACAACCCCTTCTTCAATGGGGTCCACTATTCTGCAGATGTCAGCTGGAGCCAGCCTTTGGGGAACCGAGTTTTCAGAAATTGTTGCAGCGAGGGAAAAGAGGTTGTGAAAAGCCCTGACCTGCAGAGAACAGCAGGTCTCCCTGGCCTTTGTCTCCAACAGAGGTGAAAGGCACTGAAGTAAGGTGAGAAGCCTGTGAGGTGTGTTCTGTGTAAAGAATTCCCTTGGCATCACATGAGGGATGAGTGGAGCCTTCTTGGGTCCCTTGACACCTCTCCCATGTCACAATCTCATCAATTTAAAACTTCTGTGCCCATCACTTGAGAATTGGTTGCTCTAATTTCTCTTTGCAAGAAACAAAAAAACAAAAACAAACAAATAAAAAAACACATTTATGTTACTCTCTGCCTCCAGATCCCAGTAGAGAACTCATTTACTGAGCCATTTTGATACAGAATCTCAGTAGGTCTCTAAATAGGAGGCACTGGAATTAATACTAGATCCTTACAATATTTTATCCTTGTTATTGCTCTGAACATATAAAGTATAACTCAGGCAAATAGAAATTTATAATAGGGCATAAATAATAATTCTCTCATTTATATGTTGTGATTAATATGATTTACATGTATTATAAAAATTACAACAGGTGACATAAATGTGAAATTAGAATGGAAAGTAAAACTATAGAAAGAGCTTCTTTTTGTTCACATACAAGAGAAATGGAATAGTATAATCAGGAGAGCAGACTTTATAAACCGAGTCTTCCTGGGCTTAAATGATGAATTAACTTCATGACTTAACATTAGGCACGTTATTTTTCCTGCCACAGTTTCCTTATCTATAAAATAGGGATAAAAACTGTAACAATCTCATAGTGTTATAAGGACTTAGTGAGAAAAGCCCTTGGCACTGTAGCAAAAAAAACAAGTCTTTGATTTTCATTGTTGTTATTATTTCTCTTGTGTAGTATAACTGAAACTTGACTTTGAATGACACTTTTATGAATTTCAGTTGCTTTACAAGGGTCACTCTTGATTCTAAAATATCTCACTAATTATTGTTACTCATATCAACTACAGCTCAGGTCTTGGAATGAATAAGTGATTTGATTTATAGTTACATATAAATACTTTAGTCTGAAATATATTTTAGCACATACAGTTTCATAGTTTAAGTTTCAAAGTTCTTAGAAATAAAATTACTTGTGAGGGGAAATAAACTGTAGGATAACAAAAATGAAAACTGACTAGCTCAGAGAACTTGATGAGTTGAAATATTTTACCTAGCATCCCAAATAAGAATAATAAGATTTAATACTACTGGGAAGGGAAAGAGAGAGTGAAAAAGATGAAGATGTGATATGTATTTGTACCTATTTCCCACAATGAAAGTGTTTATGATGTATTACAAATATTACTAATATAAAACTGATCCAGAAAAAAAGTATACAATTTCATTTATGGAACTTCTATGCTGATATTTTGTACAAAGTACTTTCTGCAGTCAATACTTCTAATAATTATGTTTGTATTTGAAAATGAATGCATGCCATCTGAGTAGTAGAGAAAAGTAATAAATTAGTATTGATTTATAAAAAAATTTAAAAAATAAAAATAAATGAAAGAATAGCTTGGATAAGCTTGAGACCCTTTCCCTTATTTTCCATCAGTACCCTGAAAGCCATCTCATACCATAAATAATCTATGTGAAACTCTACTACCTCCACCCTAGTGAAGAAATTTTGGAGCTACCCTTATGTAACAGATAATAAGAATAGGACTTTGCATGGTATTGTTGTAGCTATTTGGCATGCTTGGGTTAGATTACACTTTCTTCTACTCTTATACAAATCAGCCTGTTTTCTCAACATAAGGGAATGTAGAGGAGTATTTGGCAGGCTTGGGCTACACAAAGTAGGCTGAGTGTTCATGATGTTCATC